CCCCCCCCCCACCCTTTCCTTTCTCCCTGACCAAATCTGATGCGTTCAGGTCAGGGCTGCGGTTTAGAATGTGGGCGGAGAAAATGGAAGATTCATTTTTATTTATTTATTTCATTTTATTTATTTATTTTTACATCCAGAGGCTGTCGCTGTGTGAAAGTAGCCACGCATGTTGCTCATGAGACCACATCTGTTCACTTCTGAAGCAGGGGCGTAGCACAGAATTCAAGGCTCACTCTGGGTTCATTTCTATTAGCGCTACTGGAATGTTTGTGAAACTCTGAGAAGTCATCACCTTTCGCTGCTCTCATGGCAATGAATATGATTCATATTACGGCTGGCTGTACTTGTCATTAAGCTCCAAGCCGATCACTGGTTTAACGGTAATTACTGCATCCTTGATATGTATTTCAATCCTTTTCTTGGTAAACCTGTGTTGCTTGGTCATGTTGACTGAATGCTGCATTCTCCGTATGACTCCGCCTGCCCCTTCCGCCATTCCCACACATTCATGTGTTTCTTTACCCCTTTAAACACCTTCAGAAGCATTTGGTGAATCAAGGCCCCATCTTCTGCACACTATTATCGTAGGGTGATGACGCCAGAAACATTTCGGATATGTACAGTGCATTGGGTCTCGCGAGTCCTCCAGTTTCAAAGTGTCAAATTACATTAATCTTCACACTCCTATATTCTTTTCACACGGAAGATGCATGCATCACGGCAAAAAGTATTTTTAAAAAGAGGAATCCCTCCAATTCATGGGCTATCATATTAGAATGATAAATATAAAAACATTATTCGGCTTCACGGCTCTGAGGTCTGCCTAGTTTTGTCTTATCACTGTAATCAATCTGGGATTTGCAATGTGGAAATAACTGCAAGTGAGGGTAGCGTGCTTCTAGAGCTAGTTGAATTATGAACACTCCCACCCTCTTTCTACTCATCCTTTAGCCCTCCAACCTTGACTTACACACATTTCATTCAGCACTGAGCAACAACACTTACAAATACGAGGACACACACAAACACATGCAATGCCCTTCCATATCTGTGTATGTCACGCAGTTTGGCTCTATCATATATTTTTTTTTTCAACCAAGTACTTTCTTCTCCTCCCCCTTGCATGTCCTAGTGGTAATGGTAGTTGGGTGCATGGATTAAGCAGTCAGCAAACTGTTTCTTTCTTTTTTTTTTTTCCACTTGGTGAAAAAATGTATATTCATTTCAACATTCAGCAATAAATCCCCTTATCTTCATGTCCATCGTTCTTGGAATATGCTCGATTTTTTTTTTTTTTGTTGCAAGTTTTATCAAGAGAGAAAAACGTGTAAAAGACAAAAAGTCCCAAATCACTCTCTTCATATGAAAAATAAAATTTAATTCCTACCATTTAAAAGAAAAAAGGCCTGCCATCTTTATAAAAAATAAAGATGAGTGTTTCTTTCGCTCACTGATGTTCCAATAGTCTCATCCTGTAAAGTCAAGTCCACTACATATGAAGATGCTTCCTTCTTCGAAGGACTTGGTCCAAGATGAGGTCAACAGTACATTCTGGCAGTAGTAGCAATTTTCAAAATACAACATGCACATAATGGGCATAATCACTGATTAGTCATTGAAATGATGATTCAGAATTTGGTCAGTTGTGTGCAATTGATGAATTTTTTTATGCATTTGAAGCAAAATGGAGTGGCTTACTTGGCTGCAGCCAGCACCAGTCTCATCTAGTTTGTGGTCTAAAGAACATGACGTCAGCTATGGGAAGATGAGCTGCATCCATGCAGACCTCGGCTATGGTTCTGCACGTCTCTTCTTTTGCTTTATACGACACTAGCATGGAAACATTTGTTCAGAACATTCAGAGAGATTCTCCCATCCTAATGCAATATATTTACAAATTGATAAATTGATTTTCCCCGGGGTCGTTTAAGGGAATTCAGTGAAGAAGTGGAGAAAAAGGGCCCCCCATCCGTGACACCAACGTTGCATGATTTGAGCAAACAATCTGGACCCCAGATAATCTACTCAAGTGGTCTGTAATGTCAGAAGGGAAAGAATAATTTTCCATTTTGGATTGGGTAGGGATTGTAAAAGACACTAAATACATTTACGACAGTTTTCGTCAACATCTTACACATATTTTTGTAATAGTCGGCATGTTTTGAGTCCACAATCAACAACAGAAGGAAGAATGTCCGGGCTTTGCGACCTACTGGATCTTGGCTGAACACGCACCTTCAAGCAGTAACAATAAAATGCTTTTCTTCATCCAGCAGAATAAACGTTTGATACAGTGCATACCCCTAGTCTTTGGAGGGTGTTTGTTCCTTATATGCCGGTAAGGTGGAGATCCAGCAACACATCTGCAGCCCAGTTTGTTGCATTTCATGGGGGTCTGGTTGGTGACCGCATGCAGGGCCCGATGAAGTCCCCGAGAAAAGCTGAGGTGGGAGCTGTTGAAGATGTAGCTTCGAGTGATGAATGGATGCTTGAGGATTTTGCCAGGTGTAATTCTCTTTGTCTGATCCCACGTGAACATTGCTTTTAACAGCTCAAAAAAACTGTCAACCTCATTGTCTCTCTCTGGAAACATCTAAAAAGTTTATCAACATTCCAACAGTCAGACTTACGGAACTCATAATAAAAAGCATTCAATTTGGGAAATAGATTACTCGACTAGTGACCAACCTTGATCATTTCTTCCAGAGAGTAGATCTTGAAATTCACTGTCTCGTCTGACTCGACTGAATATTCTTCACGTGTCTAAAAAAGGGAGACAGATATTAAATGATGATAATATAAAGATACTGAAGCACCAACTATTTTGCAAGGTAAAGCGATGGCAACTGCATTTACAAACAAAATCCAATGATTTGCAAATCCTTTTGATCCTACTGTATATCTCACAACACTATCAAATCCAGGAATCACTTGAAATAAAGTAAATCGATTCAAAAGATTTCAATGGGTCTTACAGCATCAATCAAATTTGTATTTTACCTTGAAATTCCACTGACCCAAATCGCTCTTGTTGAAAAACTGCGTTGTTTCCCTTCCAGCTTTTAGAACATCGTCTGGTGGCAACCCAAGGACACCAATCATGCATTCCAGCTAGACGGATAACATAAATATCATTAGCAGACATAACGTAACCTAAAACTCGGATGGATTCCAAGGTTGTAAAATGACATATATAGCATATAAAATAAAAAGTGCATCGAGCTCCTACAGTCTGATCATACGAATGCCATCGGTAGTCCCATCTTCTGTGAATTAGTTAAAGATGATACACTTAAAAATTTGGAATGCGCTATCATCATTCCTTCAAGCAAAATCACCAACATGCCATTACACTCTTTACACCAAGATTTAAACGGGCTGACTTTTCAGCCAACAACATGCTGGTTTGAAAAGTCAACTAAACTTTAAGCCTGCTGCAAGTGGGTTTAAATTGTATCATGTAGTTCTGCAAGTATAGGAAGTATAGCATACTTACTAAGTCATAGTCTGTGTTTCCAATGAAGGGGAAAATACCAAGCACCATCTTTACTATTACAACACCCAATGACCAGATGTCTATGGGCTCTGCATAAGGGAGTCCAAGGATGATTTCGGGGGCTCTTTTGAAAGGAAAAAAAATCATGTGTTTCAACAACAAAATAAAACAAGGCACAAAGAAAAAGAAAACGGCAACAAACATTGCTGGATAACCTACCGGAAATAAGCAACCTGCCTCATTACAACCTTCTTGGCTTCATGTCGACTAAGAGCCACACTGAAGTCAATCAGCTTCACTGTAAACGGCTGCTTGACCTGATCCACCAGCATGATGTTGTCCGGTTTAACATCACCATGGATCACTCCCACAGCTTTCAGCGCATCAAACGCTGTGGCGAGCTGGATTGCGCCATGTACAGTATACAGCATATTTATGTAGAGAAGCCCAAAAACAACACATTCAGTATCAATACATGATTATTGTTGATCCTCACTTGCTGAATGATGGGTCTGATGTCCTTCAGATGGATACGGCCATTTGCCTGAAAATATTGAGACAGGCTGATATCCAACATTTCGAAGACCAGATACTCGTCACTGGAGGAGCCTCCGTAGTACTTAACAATGTTGTCTCGATCCAGTCTAATGTCCATCAACAACTGTAGTATGGAGGCCTGGAAACACAAGTTTGATTATGTACATTGTACAACATCAGCCCGTGGGCAGCCCAATTGAATAGTTGCAAGGAAAGGAGAATATAAAAGCAGTTGTGCAGCAGACGCCTGAAGTCATTTTGTGAGAATTCTATCCACCGTTTTTGGAAAATGGGCGGAAGCCTACACAACCATGGGAAGAGCATGCGAATTCCACACAGGAAGGCCCAAGTCAGGGTTCAAGCCTAGACAGAACCATTGGGCAACAAACCTCCAAAGGACCATTGTACTACATGTGCTCCTTTGTGAGCCTTGGTTAGGCAAAATGTATTTTGATTATTGTGCTTTTTCTGTGTGTTTACTACAATTTTCAAGGTTTTGTAATATAAATTCATCATTTACGTTTGACTTCAAATCCCCCCAAATAATGTCTATTTGGTTTGTAAATCAATATCCTTGCAAATTGTATATGTATAAGGTACAACCTGTAAAAATCTGCTCAGATAAGAGTCCCGAGTCTCCCTCTATCTTCGACAGAATTGTGAACTGGACATAATGATGCAGAAAGTGAACGTCGACATATTTTTATCACAAGATCTTCATCACAGTGCCATCCACTTTCTCACCAAAATCTACTACAGTACTCTCTCACTGTGCTTAAGGAAAATAAGTGAAAAATATATGACTGTCTCTAAATCCATTCATTCAGCCGAACAAGCAGGGGCACTGTCAGGCATTTAAGGACACCTTCAAGGCAAACTGAGATAACTATTTTCCAATGTCCATCGAACATTAGAATTGTCATCACTTTTCACGACTCACTGACAGTACAAGCGAACACAGCTACACACCTCACGATGGATGTTCCTCCCAGGCCTGGCAATCTTTATGGCCATGTTTTGTTTGGATTCCCGGTCCAAACACTTGAGGACAACTCCATAGCTGCCTTTTCCCAAGACTTTGATTGTCTTATACTTTTGTGGAAGGATTTCTGAAATGAGAACAAGCACAGGTGAATGTTAAGAACATTCTTGCTGCAAGATTACCAAAATGTTCCTCCGTCTTTTATGATTATTTTGACCGATGAATTACATAATCTCATTTTAAAATTGAGTGTCTCAAATGGTCTACCTTTAAGTTTCAAAGTAATCGTGTTTTTTTGGGTCATGTTGAATTTGCATTGGTCATTTTAATTTGGTTACAGTAATTATCCTGTTCACATCTTTCTTCACTGAAGAATGTACATTTGTGGAAGCATGCATGTTTGAAATGAAGTCCACAAGTGATGCCTTACCTTTAATTGGCTTTGGTTTCAAAGTTACGTGATTATGTCATCAAACGTGATGTTCATGATGTCAGATGGATGACACCTTGCTTGGCGTGTGATCAAGTTATGAGTGAAGATTGTGGATTATTTAATTCTGGGGAAAAAAAAACAATAAAAACAAAGAACACAACTTTAAAAAAAACGTACATCTCAGATCCATAGTCAATTAAGTTAGGTGTGATGTAGAGTGCAGCTCGAAAGTATTCACAGTTTCCTTTTATCGGCATTTTGTTAGGTTATAGCGTTGAAATTTTTGCTAGTATATTTACAATATAAGTACAACTATGAAATCACATGTACGTAGGTATTCACAGCCTTTGACATAACACTCGAGACTGAGCTCCTTCTCCATCTTAATCGCAGTCCATCCATCCATCCACCCATTATCCGAGCCGCTTGTCCTCATGAGGGTCGTGGGTGTGCTGGAGCCCGTCCCAACCCTGAACTGGTTGCCAGCCAATCGCAGGGCACACATAGACAAACAACCATTCACGCTCACAATCACACCTCGGGACAATTTTGAATGTTCCATTAACCTGCCATGCATGTTTCTGGAATGTGGGAGGAAACCGGAGTACCCAGAGAAAACCCGCATAAGCACGGTGAGAACATCCAAACTCCACACAGGAAGGTCAGACTCTGGAATCAAGATTGTTGTAAAATGCCGTGAAGACTTGCTAGATGCACTGTACTTATGGTTCATCAAGTTGGTATCAGTTTTAATCCACAACATCAAGAAATATAGATGAGGTGATGAAGATGTGATCGTGACATTGTCTGAGAATGGCAGCCATGCTACCGTCACAACTGTTGTGATTTGAGGGCTCTTTGCATTCACAATGCTAGCTTGTCTTTTATCATCTGATCTCAAGGTAAACCTTATCGAGATCCAGGATTCAGTTCACAGTGAATGTCTAACCTTAACACTATTCTAAAAATGCCAAAGATCTCACAAAATTTTCCTCTTGACACACATCAGTGACCCCTAAACGAGACGTATTTGAAATCAAGCCTGATTGAAAAGTCAAATCAACACATTTTCAAGAACATTATAGAATATTCAGTGACACCAAATACAGTCAACCACAAATCCATCTTTATTTTAAAATGACTGCGTTAAGCAAAGGAATAATGATGCTGATGTACTACGATCGTTTTACCACTGGATGGCAGTAGAGCATCACAAAGATGAACTAATGGTTCAGGTTGAGCAATATTCCTCAGAACTGTGACATTGCTTTATGGCATCCATGAGCCGAGCAGGGACAACTCAAAATAGGTTTGAATCAAAAGAAGACAATGATTGACAGGCGCAATCGACACTGAAGTGGTGTTTTTATTTGTTTGTTTTAATGGAACTCGAAATCCGAGGTAGTTTCCCTGTCTGTATGCATGCACATAACTAAAGTGGCACCTTCTGGGCCTCGTTATCAGACAAAGTTGAGTTCAAATGAGTCAAACTTGGATATTTTCAGCCGATCATTGAATGTTCCATTGCAATGTGGGAAGTAAAAAAAAAAGATGTTCCCTCTATTATGCCTGCACTCAAAAGTTCCCCTGGCCATTTTCTTAATGGACATGTCATTCAACACAGCACCTTCTTGTAGGGATTATACTATTAAGCAAGCACAACTCTAATTCAGAGTGACTGTTCCATCAATTCAATTATTTTTCAATAATTTCCCTTGTGGTAAATTAAGTTCATCCATCCATGAGACAAAAGTGAAACTATGAGAATAGTCCTTTCAAGTAGCTTTGAGGTCACTAGAAAAAAAAAAAACAGTAAATCACGATGTGGTGAGGCGAGAGTGAGGGGGAATAAAAAGATGAAGTGGAAAAATATGTATGGGGGATGCATTATTAAGTCAATAACGGATATAATCAATACAATCAAAACACTTGCCAACTCTTACAAATGAGCAACAACAGCAGAGCACATTTGCAAATTCAAGAATGCTGTGAGTGCTCCGCTAAACTCAACTGACATTCCATGGAACACTTTTAAGGGCCTCATTGACTGTGCAAAAGAATAGAGACACTATTAGCTCTATGATAAGAACATTTTTTTTTCAAAGCTTTCAACAGATAGAGCCAATTTCTACAAAAAAAAAAAAAAAGAAATAATAATAATAAGGAAAGCTGAAGGTGCATCCACAGGACTGTAATTCATCATTAGAGACAATGGCAATGAGGGAACGACCCATGCACCATCAAAACGCCTGCTAAATAACAAACAAATTGGCAAACAAACAAAAACAAGACTTTTGTCTTTAACTCTTGTTCACAGTTTGGTCCGCATTCCCCTGAGTTGCAGTCTGACAACAGATGGTCATTATCGCATTGCTGAAGCAACAAACCTAATCACCTACACTTATCTATGTGTTAAAGCACCATGTATAACCATAGTTTTGATGGTGAAGATGTTCAAGGTGATGAATTGGAGTAACATATTCTTTGTTTTTATTTCTCCTCCCAAAGGACAATCAAAGAACTGCAATGAAATGTTTCATGAGAACATTAAAGATTAACGGAGCAGAGATCAGCTAGAAACAGACGGTTTAATTAGCAGTCCAAGAAATGCTCCTAGCACTGTGTGTGTGTGTGTGTGTGTGTGTGTGTGTGTGTGTGTGTGTGTGTGTGTGTGTGTGTGTGTGTGTGTGTGTGTGTGTGTGTGTGTGTGTGTGTGTGTGTGTGTGTGTATGCACGTGCGTGGATGTGTGTATTTGATGGTTTTAATTGGCTGAGGACTCAGACAAAACAGAAAAGTCCACAAAGTGACAATTCTATAAAGGTTCCCAACACCCTCTACATGCCTCAAAGCCTTTCTTTTTTTTTTTTAAGGTCCTAACTTCATTTTCTTATTGTTTCTCTTCTTAGCTATTAAAAGATAATAACAAAGGACTTGGGTGAAACAATGATAATCATATCCTTAGTTATCCCTCTAGTTGTTCTCATTTTCTGTATACACCCTGTGTCCTCTGGGTCAAAATGACCCGTCTTCACTAAACCTCCAATAGAAGCAGCTTAATTGAATTTTAAACACAAAATTTTATATTGCTTGAAGAAACATGTCCTTCACCACAATGTGTGAATATTTGAGTTCTTCCTGTTTACTTGTACTTCTATCGCTTAAGAAAAGAAATAAAATGTGCAGAAAGGAGTTTTGAATGCAATTTTATTCATCCCGATGATGAAAGTTTCTTTCTTTTTTCTCCAGGAAACAATTTTAGTTTTATTAGCTTATGTACTGCAGTACGCAAGTTCACAGCTTTTGAAGATATGTTTCTTATACTTGCACCACACAGTACGTGATTTACAGGCCTTCCTTTGACGTCTGACATCTCTTCCTTTTACTTTCCCTAGCTGGGGAAGTGACGGTGGTAGCTGAATCCTCACTTTGATCAGGAGCTCCTGTTCCCTGAATAGTTTTTACAACTGCTGCTGAGGCTTCTATGCGGGGGACATGCTTCCTTCTTTCAATGAGTGGAGTTACAAGTGCCTTTCCTAGCTGCTCCGGGAACACCCTGCTCTTGTTCTGCTTACGCTTCTGCTCATTGGGCACTTTCTAACATAGTTGACAAAAGATACTAATGGTAGATTTATGAAACAGGATTCCATTTTACATACGCCAAAAGACCAGACAGTTAACAGTGCAAGAACATTATAAGGTATTGGAAGATTTGCAATCATTCTGTGTGTGTGTGTGTGTGTGTGTGTGTGTGTGTGTGTGTGTGTGTGTGTGTGTGTGTGTGTGTGTGTGTGTGTGAGTGTGAGTGTGTGTGCGCGCACCCCTTGTGGACTGGGTATAAATGGTGACGGGTGTCTTAGAAGTGACCAGAGGTTGTTTTCATCTCAGCAGTTTGACCCTTGTCTCCGGAGAGAAGCTTTCCTGGCACTGACATAAACACACTGACAGCTTGCCTCCTACTTTAGAAACCCTTGTGTCGGCATGTTGTGCATTTCTACATCAGCAATGTTTCTGGATAATGGTACAGTAAAATCATGTTGCTTAAACAGAAGAGATCAAGACTTCCATTGTCCATATCGATTAGTTTTTCAAAAGGCAAAACGTAAACATGCAATGCTGTCCACAAATACTGTTCGGCTAAAGATAAGGGACACGAACAGAATTGGATGTTTTCTCTCTGTTGACCGACGTCTACTCAATGATTCAAGATTATATAAAATACATTTTGTACTTTCTACAGAAGCTTCCTATGTTCAGCAAACCCAAATCAAACTACACGAGTGCTGTCCGTTGGCTGAGCAAGATTGAAAATGTATTGGCAGTCTGGGATAATAAATTCAATTTTATGAAATGGCACATTGCAATGAAACCAATATCCAGCCATCCATCCATTTTCTGATCCGCTTTATCCTCACAAGGGTCGCGGGGCGTGCTGGAGCCTATCCCAGCCGTCTTCGGGCAGTAGGCGGGGGAGACCCCAAACCGGTTGCCAGCCAATCGCAGGGCACACAGAAACAAACAACCTTTCGCGCTCACACTCACACGAGGGACAATTTAGAGTGTTCAATCAGCCTGCCATGCATGTTTTTGCACTGTGGGAAGAAACTGGAGTATTCAGAGAAAACCCACACAGGCAGGGTGAGAACATGCAGACTCCACACAGGGAGGGCGGTCGAACCCATGACCTCTGCACTGTGAGGTCGACGCGCTAATCACTAGTCCACCAGGCTGTAGTTCTTTTACGAGAAAGCAAATTGGCCTTATAAGTCAAACCACCACCATATATTTCCCGACGTGTAATATTTCAGTTCGCTTGGCACCTCAAGGATTAACTCCACAATTGTGTTTTGCTTTGTGGGGGGGACTTTTTGTGATGTCGCCACAAAAAGTGATTCGAAGCGTAAAAGTGCATAGATAACCAGTAAACTA